TTAATGGGCATAATTATATTTGGTTGTATTATAAGAGGACAATTCCCTAGTCTGTAATTTATGCCCTACCAACATTGCTTTTTTAATGAAAATATAAATTCTACTTGTTTACAGTAGCTTTATTCATAATTGCCAAAACTTGGAAGCAACTAAGATGACCTGCAGCAGGTGAATGGATAAACTGTGGTATATACAGTCAAAGAAATATTATTTAGCACTAAAAAGAAATGAACCACCAAGACATTACGGAACCTTAAATGCACATTCCTAAGTGAATAAATTTCTTGTTTATATTATAGATATCTTCTAAATCTATAAAAAGAAGCCAACCTGAAAAGACTACATACTGTATAGTAACATTCTTGAAAAGGCAAAACTATGGAGACAGTAAAAAGATCAATGGTTGCTTTGGTTTGTGGGGAAGGAGGTACAGGAGCACAAAGGATTTTTAGGTAGTGAAACTATAGTATCATCTTGTGATACTATGAATTATGAATGGTTGTTATTGTACACTTTTCAACATCCCTTGGAATGTACAAATCCAGTTATACTTAATGTAAACTATGGATTCAGGTGATAATAATGTGTCAGTGAAGGTTCACAGATTATAACAAAGACCACTGTGGTGCCATATGCTGATAACAGGGGAGACTGGACATGTGTGGGGACAGGAGATATATGGGAACTCTCTGTACTTTCACTCACTTTTACTGTGAACCTAAAACTGCTCCAAAAAAAATAAATTCTATTTTTAAAAAAGGTTTAGTAACACTTTAGTTTTCAATATGTTCTGAAGTGGTCTTCTTAGGGAAAGGAACGATATATACCCACATCTATAAAGAAATTATTATAATTAAATTGAATATGTAGTGTTTTTATCCTTCATTTTAAAGATAATTGAAAAAGGGAAGTGAACTAAGTATAGCTAGAACATTTCTAAAGCTCGGTCAGAGCTTCTATTTATATAAATTCTTATATTTGGGAATGAGTCACTAGATACAGTTATGATGCACTCTTGTTAAATGTACTTAACAGTTTAAGAACAGAGTAGAATTTGACAATTAGAAAAGATACTTAGGAAATATTGGTCAAAGCCCCTCGTCCTATGAGGAAGGAGACTGAGACAGAATTGCAGCTTCGCCCTGGTCCCAGGCTGTTTCATGGCAGGGAACAAGTTTTATGGCTGCTTCTCCATTACAAGAAGACAAAGTTGTGATAAAGTTCTTAAAATTCTGAGATGCTATTTTTTCCTTCTTCCGTTTATTTATTTCTTTAAAAGGACACGAATCCAATTAGTATATTTCTTTGGCTGATAAGCTTCACTCAAGCTCTGCCCATTTACTCATTTATTCTGCCCACTTGGTTTTTCCCAGAGGTTATTTAAAAAGAAAATCATGTTTTAAGAATGAAAACAGCCAAAGGAAATGTTTTACCTTGAAAGTGAATATAAAACACACATGTTTATTGCTAAGTGAAGGCCATGCTCCCCACCCCACCACTGTTTGTGAGAATTCAGACTCTTGTTCAACCTTTTAGAGGCAAAAAATCCAGCCTTGATGGGAGCAGCTATGACTCTGTGAAAGAAGCTACAAATAACATGCTGGGAAATTCAGCAGGCACTGCTATTATATCCTGTTTATACTGTCATTTTTCCTATCAGTAGGATATTATTTATACAGACCCCACCCATGAACTTCTTGTTTATCTTATTATAGATATCCTCCGAATCTATAAAAAGAAGTCTCTGCATTTGTTTCTGGAACAAGCACGTGTTATAATTTTGCACCTCACTACACTTTTTAATTTAGCATTTTCTTCTGCTGTGTATCACTTTTTCTCCTTTTAACCTCAGAGTTGAGTTATTTCATACATTAGAGTTGAACTTTACTGACTTTCAGAGACTCCATTACAGGACAGAGATTCCAGACAACCACATCCTTAACTTTATTTTGAGGTAGATTCTAGCATGTAGATTCTTCTAATATACACTTGACTAATTTGTTTAAAGACAGAAAAATGTACCTATGTACTGACCAAGTACCCTAGTGAGTCAATTACAAGGACAAGTTCTCAATTACTCCATCTTTCTTCTTGAATGAAATTCCTGCCCCTGAGTTTAGCCTGATGAATGGATGGGCTGGATGAAAATGTAGCACAATAAATACATGAGGAATACATGAATTCAGTAAGCTGACCATGAGACGATTAACCACCTGGTTATGAATCACCTTCATTCCCTGGCCTATGTAAATAACTGAACTGAAGTAGATTAAAGAAAACTGTGAGTTCCTTAAGGGCAGAATTCATGCAGTATTTGTTGAACAAATAATTATTTCTGGAGAGGGAACATCACTGGACAAAGTTATACTGGATACATTTTCACATGTACAGCTGTGTTAGCTTTACCAATGCTTGTTTTATCCTACAAGGCAGCACTACAGGCAGCTTGGTAAACGTGGTATCTTCAGAGACCATGTAGGTAGGCTCTTTGGGAATGTGTAAGAAATATCACTGCTTTTAAAGAACATTACTCTAAAATGTATAACTGAAATGAGGCTTAGTTTCTCCGGGAGGTGAACTAAGTCTAAGTAATTTCAGAATAAAGAGAGCTCCATGTGGGCTAAAGTAACCAAAGAAGGCAGAATGAGGATAGCAACTAAGGTAAGCTTGATAAACAGCAATTGATAAGGCTGAGGTGAGAAGGTGGAAGGTATCCTACACTCCACCAATGATTTGGGAGCATCTAGGTAAGCAAAATTCTGGAAATGGCAAGTAGTGAATTCAGCTAGGGAGTATACTGAATAGAAGATGGCAATAAAAAGAAGGGTGGACTCAAATTATAAGGAGTTTCATTTTCAGTCAGAAGAGAACCATGAAAGATATCTGATCAAGGGAAAATGAACCCAAGCTTTCAAATTATGAATGAAGAAGAGGAAGAATAAGTTGGGATGAGGCGGAAATGGGGGTAGATTTTAACAGTACCAGATCCTATAATTACAGTAGCCAAAGAAAGGTCCAAGTGATATAACAGATAAAAAATGTGTAAAACCATTATCACTTCTTGCTTTCATAAACAGGAGATGGCATCATGATGACTACTACTGAGTGGGGCATTGCTAAACAATGCCAATCCATTGAAGTTAATGTCAGGAAAGCATACCAATCTCCTAAAATAGTACTTCTCGAACCCAAATCACCTGGGGATCTGGTTAAAATGTAAATTCTGATTCATGTTTCGGGTGATGCTCTCTACCTTTACATTTCTAACAAGCTCTCAATACTGCTGTCCATAGACTACATTTTGAATAGCAAGATGCTAAAACATCTTTCCAAAAAGCCAATATTTGATACACTATGTTTAATCCATTATAATTTATCTAATGCTTTTACATATGCCTAGGAAATTCCTTTTAAAGGTATTTTATTATAATTTGCATCAATGCTGTATTGGTTTCAAAAGCTACTATTTTGAAAGTCCAACATAATTCAAGATTCAGGGTATTCAAGATAGTCAGAAATATTTCCGCCTGGACAAAATCAACTTTATATAATGCTGTTCTATTGCACTATATTTTTGTTATTCTGGCAAACTATATAGAAGATGCTATTGCCTCTAATCTTGGGGCTGAAGTAAAAGCCCTAAAAGACAGTACTCCACCTTTTCATAGTGCACAGCAGTGGACTTTGGTAAAAGCCACTGAACATGATCTTACTGGGCCCTTACCACCACTTTTTAATCCTTGAAAATAAAGGTAACAATTTATTTTAAATATCCTACTGAAAAACACCTGAAGATTGCAAAAATTAAATTCACACATTATCCTGCTGTTTAAGATTTCTATACAAAAAGATATGCCTTGAACTAAAGTGTTTTTTTACCATAATCAGTATCATTTATAAAGCTATATTACTAATGTAATATATTACACATGTATACACTCAGACACACACACCCATATTAAGATTGGCTGATCTTAGGTTAGATTCTTGGGACAAAATTTAAGACTACTGAAATCTCAAGTTTCATTTTTAACCAAATTAATGGTCAATAACATCCTTTATGGTAAACTGTCTTCAATATGTATCAATGTCTAGAGAATATACATAATATCTTAAAATTGGAAGGTACTATTGAAGATCCGATCCAATTATTTCATTATAGTGGGGAAGAAACTAAGGCACAGAGGCTAAAAGGGTCAAAGTCATGTAGCTGCTACTGGCATACTAAAAACAAGAAGAAGGGGAGAAACAAATTACTTTTCACATCTATCAATGTACAATGCATAATCATGTATTAATGACAAAATGTAGTTAAAAGAATTTCTGGTTACTCTCATGACTAAGGCATAGTTAGGTTTTATAAATCACTGATATCAAAGAAAGAAACACTACATACCAACAGAGAAAAAAACAGGCTACCCAAATTTAATAACTATAAAAAATGCAATCTGAATAGAGAATGACACATATACACCACATACTTGGGATGGGGCTGTGGTGGGTGGGTAATGGGATGGGATATAAAAAACAAAGAGAAGACACTGGTAACTCTTATCTTCTCAGTAATGGATTGAGAAAAGCTTTCACATACAGAAAAGTGGTTTAAAAACACAATAATTTCTTAATTGGTAAAACTGAGGATTAGATTTGGAGGACTGCAAAGCTTTTAAATATATGAAATGGAGGTAGCAGTTGGATGTGCATGTGTCATGAGCTCTGTCAAAGTTACAAGAAAACCAGAGAACCCTTTTTTTGCCATAAAGTAGGGTATTTTGTGCTTTTTAGAAATGCTATTAAAATTTACTAGCACACATTTTAAAAAAATCACTGGAGAAGTTCCATGTATCGGAGACAATGGGTTTTAAATCACCGGCATATATTATTGTGCCTAAATTGACAGATCTGCACTGCAATGCAGAAATGTGAGCAATAATCCAACATCTGCATCAGAAGGCAGAGACTAGACATGATTCCAGAATAAAGGGCTCTTCAGCTCTTACCTGTTACCTGTGCAACAACTGCTTGGGAAATCCTCCGATTGGCAAGAAAGGCTTTGATTTCCTCTTTTATCACACTGCTGTCCCTCCTAACAAAAACAGAAGACAAGACCAACAATGTATGTTGAAGGCAGAAATCCTCATCTTTGCTAAGAAAGGTGAAGCAGAGAGGTGGGGAGAACACAGAGAGAAAGGACACAAAAACAAAGGTAAACAGACCAAGCCTGTATGAAACATGAAATTAAAAGGAACCAAGAAACACCAATATTCAAGTTCTAAAACACCACACCATTAGACGGACGCTTCAGTGAATGCCACAGTAGATACGAGTTTCATACCAGAGGATGGCTAATCTTATGCTGTGAATAATTCACATTAGGAACAAGGCTGCCACATGGTATATATTAAGTTTCATTACTGTGGGATGAATACATCTTACACAGACAGAAATCCTAGAAAAATAAAAAGCAACAAGGACAAAAATCAGTTGTGAGTAGATTGTGGGTTCCTGTGTTAACAATGCAACTGCATAAATAAGATGCAGTTCATTTTAAAATCTTTGTTAAAGAATAGAAATCATCGTTCTCACAACTGCTAAAATATTAGCCACTTTAAGAAAGGCTTTGCCTTTTAATTTGCCTTCTTTTCCTGTGCATAAAAAAAAATTTAAGTGGGGTTACATATAGAATTTTATATATATATAAAAAGGCACTTAATTTCCTATTACATGTATTATACAGAATACTTAATACTTAAATCTACATTATTTTCTGCATCCTTGGGATCGCAAATTATAGACCTGATTTTTCCTCCACTAAGATTCCTTAATGATTTTTACGTATTTAAAAATTCAACAAATTCTTAAAAGACTAGACATTCACTAGAATGTTAATAAATGGCAAGATTTCTGTTTCTCCACCAGAACAAACAGAATACGTAAAATTATACTTAAACTTACCAACTGTTCTTTGAATGTTTTATGTACAAGAAGATTATATAAGTAGAACACTAATTTTTGTTGATGCCCAAAAGTAACAGAGAGTAGTGGTAACTTATCACCTAATGCAGTGGTTAGCAAACTATGGTCCTGGGTTAAATCTAGCCTCCCACCTAAAAATGGTATTCACAGATGAAAATTTGCAATTGACTTAATGGCAGGAAAACACTATCTTCAAACACTAATTAAAGCAAAATACCATCCCCTCCCCAATTCTATTTTTCTATTAGGCTTTTATTTTTAAAATGTATTTAATTATTATTCTATATTGAGTTTTGTTAATAAAAATGTGTGCCCAGCCCTGGCTGGTTTGGCTCAGTGGATAGAGTGTTGGCCTGTGGACTGAAGGGTCCCGAGTTCGATTTCAGTCAAGGGCACATGCCTGGGTTTCAGGCCCGGTCCCCAGTGGGGGGCGTGCGGGATGCAGCTGATCAATGATACTCTCTCATCATTGATGTTTCTATCTCTCTCTCCATCTCCTTTCCCTCTCTGAAATCAATAAAAATATATTTTTAAAAAATAAATAAAAAATAAAAATATGTGCCCATTTGATTTCTCTCTTGTGTATAAATTATCTATATTATATCCTCAATTTTGCCTCTGGCCCACTAAGTCTAAATGTTTACCATCTAGCCCTTACAGAAAGCTTCCTGACTCTTGGTCTGAGACAAAGGGATCATGAAATCTTTACAAATCATTTTGTGAATGAATCACAAACTCTTCTTAAGAGTTCAAATCCTTGGGGGTAGGGTGAGATCAATGGGGGAAAAAGGAGACTTATGTAATACTTTAAACAATAATGAATTTAAATTTAAAAAAAAAGAGTTCAAGTCTTTCTACAGATTATTTGGAGAAACAAAAGTACCCTTTCCAAAAGGAATCAGCTGTGACTTAATTTACAGCAGATACTTTAGACTTGGTAAGG